AATAGGAAGGATCATATATGGTAACCGGAGTTGTAGAAGCCGGAACGTAATAAGCTCGCAGGAAAAAATGGCGAACCACTAAAACAACTTAGGTATGACATGTACTTAAGAAAGTATTATCAATAAAATTCCAATTATCCCTTGTGAACTCAACAAAGCAGATCACAAAATTTCTTCTCTATTACATGGGGTCCCCCAAGTTAGTTTTGAATTTATCATACTATAAACTAAAGTTGAAACCAAAACTTGATTAGTGAGCAAACACATGGCAAAATAAAGATCTTTATTAATAAAAAAGGAAGGTTACAAAGCAAATAACACTTGCGAACTACATCTGTTGCACAGTTACAAGACTTGTTATGCGAAGTAAAATCTACTAAGCTGCAAAGCTTACTATGCGAATGAAAAAAAAAAAAACTACTACAAAGGGCATGTCCTATGATTTCAATTCACCTTGTACAATCCATAATTTCCAAGTAGGTTCCGGAGTTAAAAAATGAGGAAGTGATGGAGAATAAATTCAAAACCCTTTGCCCAAAGCAGCCTACAGAAGTTAATAGGGGTTCGTTAGGAAGGAAATGCATAAGGGTTTATCACAATATCTGGAATTATGTTATGCATAGTATTTTCTTGCATATGCATATCTAAGAAAGATGCAAGAAGCTGGCAAGGAACAGCGTGGACACTTTGTTGATGCACTTACAATCCCCAGAGGCCCAGAGGGATCTAAGGATCCTATGTCCCCATCCCAACTTCTGTATCACACGAAGCGATAGTAGAACTGGAGATATAAGGTTTTAGCATGGCAAGTGGAAAATTACGGCAATTCCAAAAATTTGTCTGATCATATAAGGTAATGATTTGAGATTCAAGAATAATGCATTAGGAATATACATTGGAGTCAGAAAAGAAGGAAGGACAATGGTAAAGCAAAGACCAGTGGCGATATGCAACATCTCCCCATAATCAACAATAAACAAAGCATCAAAGCTCATTCTATTCTATAAAGATATATGTAATCAAACTACAACACAGCATGCATATATATAGTACTGGAAAGAGCCAATTACAGCTGCAGAATACCAAGGGACTTAGTCATCTTGAGCAGTGGGAGTCCTAACCGTCGAATGTGGAAAGACACAAAATAAATGGTTGAAAAATACAATGCATAAAAATGGGAGAAAGAAAACCTCTAGAAACCATGTATAAGCATGCAATGAATGACTCCAGTAACATCCACATACCCTGATCATTAATTGAAAAATATGAAAATCAAGTAAGGTCCTTATGAAAGCTCGTGGTTGTGAAATAGTGAAAAAGACAAGTCCTAAATTTAACATGAATAATAAAATAGGACTTAGGGATTATTTGTTAAACAAGGCAAGGCACTTCGAGAGATTCTCCTTCAACAAAGCAGAAGGCAACATGCGAAAATAAGTAGTAAAGGTTCGCCCAAAGGTCGTGAACTTATTCCCATATCCAAGCTGACCATAAGCTGCACATAGGCAAATAACCAAAACGTGATTCTTAACCAAAATTAGTTATCACATTACCACTAAAGGCCAGCCACCTGGCACAACGCACGAATTACCAAAATATCCCAACACTTGGAGGAAAGTCTATAAATACCCCCTTCCCCATTTGAAGAAGGCACGCAATTCAAATATCTATTTCTCAAATAACTATTTTTCCTCTAGTTCTAGTTTTCGCATTTGGACTAACAAATTTAGGGGGTGAAACTCATAGTTAGGAGATATGATTTGTTGATAGTATTTACATTGGTCTTTGATTATAATTGTTCATCTATAAAATTATTCGATTCAAATTTTACCGTCAACAGGGAGTATATTGACAGAGATCACCTTGGCCAATGTTTGTAATTGGTGAGACAATTGATATAATTTGAAAACAGATGACTTCTTTGAGGCATTTTGTCTATCATATCGTGAGCATGGTGATTCTGGAGAACAGTGACCCGAAATTAGCACACTCAAAATTCACCGAAGCAACACAACCTCCACTAGTAAATAATCAAATCCCATTCTTCTAAAATCAAACACAATCTGAACATTTTAAAAGAAAACCCTATTAAGAGAGGGAAGCCATTCTTATCTATAAGTTTTAGTATTTAACACTATTTTGTATTTCATTACATTATTAAAAACTATAAAAAAATGTACTATGTATTGTCTTTAATTGATATACTATGTATAGCACAGTTATCACCTTGGCCAATGTTTGTAATTGGGGAGACAATTGATAGAATTTGAAAACAGATGACTTCTTTGAGGCATTTTGTCTATCATATCGTGAGCATGGTGATTCTGGAGAACAGTGACCCGAAATTTGCACACTCAAAATTCACCGAAGCAACACAACCTCCACTAGTAAATAATCAAGGAAAAAGCTAGATGTACTACACAATTTGCCCGAATTGTTTACTTGCTGCTGACATGGCACTTTGGAGAGTCAAACAAAACGGCAGCTCTGAGTTGAAAGGAAAATCACGTGATAATCTCTCACTTGCACTCCTCTCTCCCTTTTCACCTCCTCCCCTTCCACTCCTCTCTCACTTCACCAGTTCCACCTCCACCTCCACCTCCACCCCACGCCACGGCAACAACCATCACCATCACCAGCAGCAATTATAAACCAGAACAGAAGCAAAAAACCAGCAGCAACAGATGAAAAATGCAGAATAAAATGCACCGAAGAAACAGGAATAAACCAGCAAGAATATGAACCAGCAGAGATTTTGAACAGGAAGAAAACCTCTCCCTAACACTTTATTACCAAAGCAAACATGATTTACAAACTTGAAATCATACAAGAAAGATTTGTTCCAGATTTATAAGAATTTTACCATTCTTATCAAATCTCACTTTCTATCCCTCTTTCATCTTTCAAGCTTCTCCTTTTCAGAGCTCCTCCTTTACCAGATTTTCCAGAGCTCTTCATCCCTCCTTTACCAGAGTTTTCGAGCTCTACATCTTCATCTTTCAAGCTCTCCTTTTCCAGAACCTGAGGCTCCTTTTCGGTTATTAACTACCAACAAATAAGGCTCCAAGTTGTTGAAAATTCCAACCCAAAAACTGTAATTAAAGCTCCTGATTTAACTGATTTTTATTCCAACAGCTTTTGTAAAAAACTAAGGTTGTCCAAGACTTCTTCAAGAATCAATTTCTCTACAATTGTCATCAGATTCCTCTTTCTAGATTGGAGAGGGATCCATTAGATTGCATATATTTCCACCATATATGGCTACCTCCAACTTAATTTGTTATAGCCCAGATTTATTGCTAAACAGGCCTGGGACCCAATTGTAGAGCTGTTTAGGTAGTGCAATTCTGATGAATTTGTGCAAATTGGTTGTCTTCTAAGGGGAAAGAGGAATTGAGTTCTGCATGGTGGTCGAGTGAAGGAGGCAGAGCTGCTGGTAGAATCTGCATCTATTTTGCAGCCAGTGACATTGGGAAGCAACTGTGCAGTGGTGGTCTTCTGCTGAAGAGAGTGTTCACCAATCAGCCCTTCACCACCAGTTAAGCTTCCCACTTCTGGCCACATAATGAAGATTAAATTGAAAACATCTTACCCATGTTGTTGCCGGCGTGGGAGTTGCCGGCTTCCCCTTCATCTCCGTAAGAGAATGTTTCGGGGTCAACGTGTGGGGGGAAAAATAAAGGGTCCGCTGACGTGTGGTCGCCGTCGTCCAAGTCGCCGGCTACTTCGACTGAGTTTTCAGGTTGCTCCATTTTCGCCGGAGCTTCTTCCCTGCACTGGTCCTTCATAGAAATGACGGGAGTTTTGGCACCTTTTGATTGGGGTTTTTGCTTCTTTTTTTTTTTTGTTTTGTCTGTGTTGAATTTTCAAAGACCCAGCCACATCAGCATTAAGTAAGGCATGTAGTAAATCAGTGAGTACATCTAGCACGTCCCNAATGTACTATGTATTGTCTTTAATTGATATACTATGTATAGCACAGTTAACTTCTTTTCACGAGACAATCCAACAATCCAACGTTGAACGTATACTAGGCACCTATTTGATAGCCATTATAAAGAGAAATTGGAAGAAAATAATATTTCGAATAGTGATTTTTTGGAAAATTTGTGATTAAAAGGTTGGGAAAAGTTATAAATTTACGTGCAAAATATTTTATTGTGTGAATATATGATTGAAAATGAGTACGAGAAATAAATAATTTTGTTTTAGCCCATATTTGACACACATTCTTTAAAAATACATTCTCTCAAAACTTATTTTTATCCACACATTTTTTAATAAAATAATATTTTTCATCACATCAATAATTTTTTCTCACATTTTAACCACATATTTCTCATCATATCAGTATTTAAAATACATTCTTTTCTCAATAATATACATCAAATACACCCTTAATGAGAATAAAAAAGCGGCTAAATGTGTTGATGAGACCAGCTCAGCTCGAACCACCCCACGAGCTGGCTCGTTCTCGCTTAATGGCAAGTTGAGCACAAGCTAGCTCGTTTAAGATCTTTTTGGCTGGACTCACCCCTTCTTTAAAATTAAATTGAATTTGTTAATATTTTTCTCAATATCTCGTCTCGAGAGCAGCTCGTGTGAACTGACAAACAACTTGTACAACAAATTCGAACTTGACCCGTTAGGTGTGTGACTACACATTTGACATCCCTAAGATATACTATAGGCTAACACAGCAAACATGACAATAAAAAAAATAACACGATGAAGAAGATACAATTTGCTATGAGAGGAAACAAAATAAATATTTTGAAAAATAAATTCAACATGCAGTCACTCGTATTTACCATTAGTCACTTTTCTTTACATAGAAAAAACTCCTCACTGGACATTCACACTGCTCACCAACTCACTCATTCACTAAATCCTACTGTCATCACAAACTGTAAATTTGATGCAATAATTTCATACGTACTTTCGATATTTCCCATCAAATTTTTTTCTTTAAATATTAAAAAAAATAATAATAATAAGCTTCAAATGCTGCATCTCTTCTGCTCTTCACATGAATTCCTTCGCGGCTGGATGAATTTTTCGTGCGAAGAATAACTTGAAGATCTCGATAAGTGCGAAAATTCTGAAATCATCAAGGAAAAAAAGACAGAATTAGTAGATTTTAAGGAAGATCGTAGCATTAGTATTTAACTCTTAATTTTGCTTTAAATTTTTCACAGAAATGTGTAAATAATAATAATAATTAATAATCATCTCTTTTTTTTTTTGGTAGGAATGTACCTTTGGATGAAGAGTTGAAGCTTTTCTTGCAATGAAGAATGGCGCCTCGTATTCCATCATGCTGCTGCAACAGGGAATCGTCCCTACGGTTCACCGCCGGTGGCGTCATTCTGATTGCCGTCGAAGCCGATCGGCTTTTCGTCAAACGTTTGTTTACAAAACTACCCACTCTGCTCTCATCGGGAAACTTAATCGGAGATAAATTAGCCGGTGGCACCGTAGGAAAAGAGTTCGGCGTTACGGAAACCGAGAAATTCATAATACAATTCTTCCTTTTCGTAACCTTAATATGCAGAGGTTTGATTAGCCTCAAATACTTGGGCAAAAAATCCTTTGAAGATTGCTTCGACGTAAGGTTAATTGAAGATTCATCACAGATTTCTTGAAGCAATTTGCTTCTCAAGCTGTTATCTCTGGTAAAATAGGAACAAACCGGAACTTCATCCACTCTGCAATTTACCGAATCACGCTTCGTTTTTTCGCTATTGATCTCCGTTTTGTCACATTTTGATGATCTCTTCAAACCCAACATGAACACTTTGAATTTCATAGCTGTCCTCTGAATAGCTATTGGGGACAGAGGCTTCGAATTGGAATCTGGCGATTGGAAAACCAAATCAAAGAAAGAGTCGTCATCATCGGTTTTTTCATCGTTGGAATTTTCCGAACTATTAGAGAAGCAATCTCCGTCGGAGCTGGCGTCAGCTCCAGACATGGGATTTGCCCAGAATTTAAGCTTGGTGAGAAATTCCATTGAGAATTCAACGCGAAGATTGAATAGTAAAGACTACAACAACATAGAGGTATTAATAAATGGTTGGCTTTTGGGGGCTCAAAATTAATGGCTTTGGATTCTGGCAAAAGAATAAACTGAGAATTTTTGGCTTTCGGTAAAGCAGAATTCAAGAGGACTTTTCTTTTCTGAGCAAGGGCGCGGGGTCGGTGACGTAGGACTAGAGCACGGACAAGAATTCGTATCAGCCAAAAAAATTAAAAAAAAATAATGTTGGGAAAAAATTATTCTTGAAAAGAACCCTTTTGAAAACAAGCAACTTAGTTCTCGGTGCAATTTTTTGAATATATGTTCTAGTTGATAAACAAAACGTTCGTGAGGTAAGGATATGTTGGCAATTTTACGAAGGTCCAGAAATGTAACTATAATAAAATATTGAAAATTAACTAGCTCTTTAAGAAAAAATATGTCTTTTCTATATCTCTCCCACATTTGTTCCGACAAAGTCGCATCATTCTTACGAATAATAACTCGTATGTTTCACAAAAAATATGTCTTTTCTATTTAAATCACTAATCTATTTATTCTCAATTTCATACCGACCAAAACTAATTATGCATCTTCAAACTTCCTTGTTTCTGCTATGTTGGGTTTCGATACCCAATGAATTTCGGGCTCTGATGTAAACGTTGGATTAAATTATTACCAACAATCAAGTCCAAAGCTCGACCCGAAAACAATGTGGGCCTTTGAAAGTAGTTTAAAGAATTAATGTTACTCATGACACATATATATTACCTTTTGGATGTCTTTGAATTTTGGCTCATTTAAGCTTTTTATTGGTCCAACTAAAGTCTAACTAACATATATATATATATATGGTGTCTTTACCATAGCCGTAAAGGGTGTGATTTGTGTGAGAAAAGAAGAAAGAAACCGTGTGTATGCAAGAGAGAAACTGACAGCCTGCTGGAGAAAAAAAGTGTGGCTTTCCTTTTATTTTTGGTCTTGTATCTTCCCTTCTTTCGTTGCTTTTCTTCTTTTTTGTGGTTACAAATCATTACCATTATCTTGTCATTTGTGAGTGACATTGAAAAGCAACTGAGGTGAATATATTGGTTGTGGGTTGGAACCGTTTGGATTGGTTGTTTGATAGAGAATGACAACATGAAACTGAGCCCGAAAATTGCTGTTTTGACAACTTTTGAAGCTAGCTTCCATGACAATTGATATTAAAGCTTCAAGGTGGTGGATTTGGCTTGAAAAACTGACCTGAAAAGAGACAGAAATGAAGCAGAAAAATTGTTGAAAACTATGAAAAAAATCGGATATGTTTATGTATGTTTTGGCCAAACCAGAAGGAGTTTAGTAAAACGGAGACCATTAGAGTGACGTGCACGTGGAGGCGCACCAAGGTTTTCGGCGCGTGAGACTGTCCAGCGATGTGTAAAACCCATGTGCAGAAGCTATTAGTAGCGCGTGCGACGTTTTTTGGCGTAGGTTTGTTCAGACAATTTGTTGCTAACGTTTTTTCTAACATTGTGGTGTTGTTAGTTTTCTGTTTCAAGTTAAATCTGGACTACTTGTTCTTTGCGCGTTCGGGATTCGATCATGTTTGATTAATTCATGTGATTGCTAGAGACTTTAAGGTGAATAGTGGTAGTCCTAAAGTGGTACATTCGCATATCTCGTTATTACGTGGTCCCATTGGTATCGTTTTCTTTCCCCTTTTTTATTGCAGATATGGTTATTGTGTAGGATAAAATTAATTTTTCGCATTAGAATTCATCGTTTAGGAGGACGTTGGGTTTGAGTTACCGTGAAAGGTAATCGTTACCTGTTGCTAAACATATGAATTACTTGTTAATTATTTATATTGAATTCTTCATGAATTTGTTGTCAATTATTTTTTCATTATTAGAAATGCATGTGACCTTAGGAAAGTTTATTTGACTATTCAGTGTGAATTGTATCGGTACTTTGCTTATGTTCGTTGTTGGCTACATTTTGTATTTTGTGCATTTTTTGGTAACATGACAACACATTTTGAGTTGTGATTTCTAATAAAAAAATGTGATTTTTCAACTGGCAAAATGAAAAGATTTTTCATAAAACTTTTGATTGCAAATGTAGATTTAAGGTAAGTGCAAAAGTAAGATATATTTTAACTGCGGTATATTTGGACGTTGTAAAATAGGTTGCCCTAGAAATGATAATAAAAAGAAAGATAAGATGAGAGGCGTGGCGTGGCTTGGCGTGGCTTGGCGCGGCGAATGTGGCTATAGTGTCGAGTGATGACCTTAGTGAGGTTTATTGAGTGTAAACATGGATACTGCATGTTTATCTGTGTGTAATCCTTCCGCATTTATGTGATTGCTTAATTCTGTTGCATGGTTATATGTGCATTTTAATATGTTTGATATGTGCATTTGCATGATTTTCAAAGCAATTTAATTACTTTGTAATTATTTGCATCCATAGTGGGTTAAAATGCATTAGCATTATGTTGTATGTCTATTGGTGATGTAGAGTATAGATGTCTATGGGTACATTGGTGATTTGTACCGAGGATATGGAGTGTGACATTTGGATCACGAGTTGAGAGGTGATTAAATGTTGGAATCATTTATCCGTGAAGAGACCCTGATCAGGTGGAGTATGAAAGAGACACTTTTATCACTTCTTTTAGGTGGAGACCCATTATCCACTTAAGTTAGGAGAAGTGATGTGGTGATAGAAGATTATCCCAAGGACTTAGGATCTATATAGATCTACCGTTAGACATGAGTTGAGTATTCAGTCTAGTGAGCATGATGATCGATGAGAGGAAATATATGTTCTCAAGGTGTGAGCAACACAGAATGTGATATGATAAGTGTAGTGAGATCTTTTCGTGTGGTCAATTATGCATTTGCCGCATATATGTTATGACTATTTGATTGATTGACTTAGTGTTAATATGTTGTTTTTTGTGAACGTATTTGAAAAAGATCTGTGAATTATCATATATTATATATTTCATCACATGATTATTTGTTCTTGATTGCTTATCGTTATTATCTGCTTCTACTTGGGTGTTATTTGACCTTAGCTCTGGTGACTACATGGAGTAGGTATGGTATTTGTTTCGGGTTCAAAACACAGGGTCAGGGTTGATTGGGTATCAAGGTCGAGATTTGATAGGTTTTGATACCTAATGAATCTTGGGTTTTTATGTAAACGTTGGATTAAATTGTTACCAACAACCAAATTCAAATGTTCAACCCGCAAACAACGTGGGCTGTTGTAAGTAGCTTAAAGAATTAATGTTGCATTTTATTGGTCAAACTAAAGCCTAACCTAACCTATATATATGGTGTCTTTACCCTAGTTGTAAATTGTGTGATTTTTGTGATAAATGAAGAAAGAAACCTTGTGTATTCAAGAGAGAAACTGGTAGCCTGCCGGAGAAAAAAATGTGTGGCTTTCCTTTGATTTTTTGTTTCGTTTCTTGACTTCTTTCGTTATTTTTCTTCTTGTCTTTGTGGTTACGAATCATCTCCATTATCTTGTCGTTTGTGGGTGAGATTGAGGAGCAATCAAGGTGAATATATTGGTTGTGTGTTGGAGCCGTTTGGATTGTTCATTTAATAGAAAAAGGTAAAGTGAAACTAAACATCTAAATCACCGTTTTGATGACCTTTAGAGCAAGCTTTCAAGACATGCTACATTAGTTTTGACATTTTACATCTCAACACTCACTAGGGTTGGACAAAATTCTCAACCCAAACCGAACTGAATAGAGCAGTTTTTCATAAGTTAAATATCCGAACAGGTATTTGAATCGAGAACCGACGAATTCGGTTCGGTTCTAGACCCAGAACCAAATAAGAACCGGATTTAAATAATTTTTTTTAATTTTTTCTAAACAAATTAGCAAATTAATTAATTTAGTGATTAATGTTCTAACTTACGAGCCAAATTCATGCCTAGCTAGTCCAGCCCAACCCAACCCAACCCAATTTCTAAATTCAATTTTTTTATTTAATTTTTTCATCCAATTATTAATTTCATTTTTATCCCAATATCTAGGTCTTTTTAACTTTTTATCCTTCTCTTTCTAATATCACACTTTCATTCGATAACCACTGAGTCACTGACCCCAAATCATTTGATAAATTAAAAATATACATCTACATACCTAAATTAAAGTCGCCGACTGTCGAGTCCGACTTCCCCTCTCCAACTGCCCATCGAAGCCGCGACCTTCAACCATGATCATCGATCGTTAACCATTAGAAATCTGTTAAAAAATTTAATTATGGTACGGAACTGAACGGTACCGAACATAACCTAACTGAATTTAATGGAACCGAATTCGAACGGTTCCATAATTATATTTGTGCCCGACGGTTCCAAATACATGAAAATTTTGGTTCGATTCGATTCTCTTCAGAATCGAATAAAATCGGATTATGTCCGGCCCTAACACTCATACTGAAAAACCTTATTAAAACCTTATCCATACGTTAAGCTTTGACATTAATAATATTGAAGTATATGGAGGGAAAAATGGGGCAAACAAAGAAACTTCCAAAAAGAAAAGGCCAAAGAGCCAAAAAGTAATCAAAGAGTTGAAGAAAAAGAGGAAAACTTTTGCTTTTTCCAGTATTTAGTAATAAAAATCTGACGGGTCAGACATCGGATTCTTTAGCCTTACGGGTCAAGTTTACACCTTTTAAGTGGGTCAAAGTTAGACCCGGAATTCTGTAAGTCCAACGGTTTGACTTGATATCTTCAACGGACCTGATTTAATATTCTGACGTATAAAAAAATGCTTTACGGAAATAAAGTTGTCTTTTTTAATTTTTAAAAATAAAGTTGCAACAACGTGGGAAACAAAAGGGAAAAGAAATAAAGTGTCTAATTCTATAAAAAGGAGAAAAGTTTAGCATATTTATTACTTTACTACTATGGATAGTTACAACTTATAGTTATAGGTCATATATCTAAGTACTTGGATTTGGTTGATCTAAGTTTTA